ACCACATATTTCGTTAGTTAACAACAACATAATCGATCTTCTTTTGACCAATACATGTATTTGAGTATTTTAAATGACCATCATAAGTGTTCAATACATTAGAAACTTTCTTATATCACCACATATTTCTTTAGTTAACAACAACTGATGATCATTTTTGATAGCCATTCAAAATACCCAGATACTTGTATTGGTCAAAAGAAGATTAATCATGTTGTTAACTAAAGAAATATGTGATGATAAGAAAGTTTTTAATGTATTAAACACTTTTGATAGTCATTCAAAATACTCAGATATTTGTATTGGTCTAAAGAAGATCAATTATGTTGTTGTTAACTAAAGAAATATGCAGTGATATAAGAAAGTTTCGAATGTATTGAACACTTATGATAATTATTCAAAATACTCAGATACTTGCATTGGTCAGAAGAAGATCAATTATGCTGTTGTCAACTAAAGAAATATAAATTAATTGATTTTCTTTTGACCAATACAAGTATCTCAGTATTTTGATTGATCATCAAAACTGTTCAATACATTAGAAACTTTTTTATATCACCACATATTTCTTTAGTTAATAACAACATAATTGACCTTCTTTTGACCAATACAAATATCTGAGTATTTTGAATGATCATCATAAGTGTTTAATGCAATACATCTTTTATAACTGAAAAATTCAATTTAACAATTTTAATTTTTATTCTCTATTATTTCTAATTTCTAATTTACAAGATCAAAATCTCTGCCATCTTGTTAAACTTAAGAACATCATAGCCACAGTTATGATCTCCCAAATTGGACTTTTTGGTTGCAAAACTACTTTGTTTTGGTTCAACAGTTGAATTTCATTTATCCATATTAAGATAAATAATAAAATACAAGAAGAGATTACAAAATTAAAATAAAAAACATATAAAATTTAGATTTACAATTACAAAATGTAAATTTATAAAATATTCAGAATGTTTAAAATTAAATACTATGACTTATTAAAACATTTTTTAAGTGTATAGAGAAGTATGATAATTTTACAATTAAGTTTTGCAAAACTATAAAATTAATATGATAGTTGTTTATACACTAAAAAAAGGTTTAATACATTGTTGTTGTTTATTTTAAACACAATCAATGTCCTTTACATCCACAACTTTCAACTGGAAGTAGCTAACTTATATAGCTTCTTTTTTTTTTTTATTGAATAGAAACTTTTTTTTTTAAACCATTAAAGTGAAATTTTTTAATATTTTATAAAAATATATTTAAAAAAGTAGTCAATAAAAAGATTGATAGTATATAGGGGGTTGTCTTAAAATGGCAGTTGGAATATAAAAATAAAGAAATATCAATATTTTATTCTAAAGTAAATAAATTTAAAACTTATATACATATATATATATATATATATATATATATATATATATATATATATATATATATATATATATATATATATATATATATATATATATATATATATATTGCAAGGAAAAAAGCCCCCTAGCAAACTATTAGCAGCAAAGGCTTATAATGTTGGCTAACACTAACTGCAATATTAAAGGGATCCCCAAGTGTCAAAACAGTTTGTGTTCATACTTAAGAAAATAATCTTAAAAAAAAATATTTGGGTTAAATTCTTTTGATTAAAACTAAATAATAAATCCATATCAATAAAATTAAAATTGTTGTTTTAGTCTAAACTTGCCCTCTCCGTTTTTCTTGGTTCTTAGAGTTTTTATACAGGGTTCACAGCCAATTATTTATATGAAGTTCCCTTTACACTGACTTTTTTTATAAATCAGATGAATTTCCATAACCATTTTTAACATGAAATGGTTTTTATAAAATGTTTAAAATTAATATCTACTATAATGTGAAAAACTAAAATTGCTATAATGACAAAACTTATAAAACTTAGTCAAGAACACTAAGAAAAACATAGGTTTCAGAAAAACACAAGTTTCAGATGATCTTCAAAAACAAATAAAAATTATCCACATAAAATAATTTTAAATAATTTTTCACTAACACAAAATTTAACTGAAATATATAGTTGTATGAAAACACATATAAAAAAATCTTTCAACATCATATACAATAGTTGGTCTATAACAGAGACTACTATGGGTTAGTCATTTGTTATCACTATTTGTAGCTGTACCTTTGTTATCACTATTTGTAGTTGTACCATTGTTATCATTATTTCTAGCTATACCTTTGCTAATCCAACTATATCTTCAGATAAAAAATAGCACAGCATAACAAAATATAGTTTAGAAACATTAAAAAAATATATTGAGCATCGATAACCTGACTAACTTATTAAACTGCCTATGATCTAGTTCTTTTAATTAAATACATCATCAACTGAAAATACAGAAGTTTAAACAGATGTTGTTTAAACAAGCTGTAACAGGGTCTAGAAGCAGAAACTGACACATTGTCTGTTTAGAAAAATCATTGTAAAAATCAATTTTTTGGGTAAACTTGTTGCAATACAAAAATCATTATGGATATAATAAACTTTGGCGAGTTTTCAAACTAATTTAAACATAATCCTTCTAAAGGAAACAATTTGAAAAGGTCTACCTCATCATATGTGATCCATTAAACACAAAGAACTTTCAAGCAAAATCTTACATTTAGTAAAAGCAATTGAAGCTTTTCAACAAGCTATATTTGCATAAATATCAAGAAAATTGTCAAAAAGCAACAATTGTTAATGCAGTTTTTTTCTCTTTTCCTCAAATAGCAATAATGTCCCCTGCAACGTAGCAACATCTTTCATTTTCTAATCACTTTTCCTTTTTAAAGCATTCACTTCACTGACCATTGATATATTGTTTTATTTTCTGCTTGTTCTACACTCAAGGCAAACTCTTTTTCTAGCATCATAAAGTTTTTGTAGAGAGACCCATTTGAGAATTTAGCTCTTCAAATCATAAAAAATAATGGCTTTCTGACCTAGCATTGCATGTTTTTTATTCTTTTACTTCTCTTCTTTAATCATGAGTTGGCATTTTTAATGGGCAAATTTTAAAGGCAGCTTTTATTTCTGATGTAACCTGGAGAGTGTGGGGATTGAAGTTGATTTTTAAGCATGAAATCATACGCAAGACGCTGCCCATCAATACCATCAGTTGATATATTGTCAGTAACAACATCCTTATTGACACTAAACCTCAACCGATACTTGCCACATAAGCAAGAAAATTCGAGTTTGATCACCACCATGCCCCGCGCTCAACTTGTTTCTCCGCATAGCAGCCTTGTTTGTCAAGATGTGTGTTTCAGAGTTATAGAGTTGAGGGTTGTAGCCACAACTAAAGAAGCCTCCTTGACTGTAGTGGCCACTACATTGCCTTGGGGAGTTGAATTAAAATTAAAAACTCTGAGAAATAAAAAAATGGAGAAAGTGAGCTTTGACTAAAATGATAATTTTAGCTTTATTGTTATGCATTTATAATTTAGTTTTAATCAAAAAAAACTTAGCCCAAAGATTTTTGTAAATATTTTCATTAATATGAACACAACTTTTCTTAGCACTTAAGAATACCTTTAAGGTCTATTGAACTTTTTGTAAAAGTTGTTCTTGAAATTGCTTATACTCTTTTAAAATACTGTTGAATCAGCTAAACTATTCCATTGATTGACAACTCTGTTGGTGAAAAAGTACACTGAACGCAGTTTTTGACAATTCCATGACATAAGCATTAACAATATCTTCATGATATTACATTGATGATATATTTTCTAAGTATAGAATACTGAATAGTGTAAAATACAGAATAATGAGGTATAACATTATCTTATTTATTACAACATTTTGTTGTGGATAAAAACTTGGAACTAACGAGATGATCTAACAATTTTTTAGTTCATTTTTATTAGATTCAATTGACTATGCTTTCAGTTCAATTGGTTCAAAACAACTAGCACTTGCTATGATTGCAGAGTCTAGTGAGATGCGCTTAAACAAACTCTGAAACAAACTGGCTTTTAAGAGAAATAACACACAGTAATTTCTAAACTGTGTTAATTCATTTTTAATTATAAATAAATATAAAATCACTCTTAGCTCTTTTATTAATATTAAAAAAAAAAAAAAAAAATTCACCTCCTTAAGGCCAAAAAGGTCACTACAGACAAGGAGGCTACTCAATTGTGGTTATAACCTTCTCTCAACTCTATAATTCCGAAACACGAACCTTGACGAACAAGGTTGCTGCCCAGAGAGACAAGTTGAGTGCGGTACTATCATGGACATGGTGGGGATCGAACTCGGAACCTCTTGTTATGAAGCGAATGATCTCTACCACTACACTACTACCGCACATAAAATGAAAACTAATATCTTTCTTAAGTAATAAATTTTTTACAATACAGATCCAATTTTTTAAGATCAATTTTAAAATATGTGTTATCCTTATTTTATTTCCTTATTTTAATTATGTGTTATCCTTATTTTATTTCCTTATTTTAAATATTTGTTATCCTTATTTTATTTCCTTATTTTAAATATGTGTTATCCTTATTTTATTTCCTTATTTTAAATATGTGTTATCCTTATTTTATTTCCTTATTTTAAATATGTGTTATCCTTATTTTAAATATGTGTTATCCTTATTTTATTTTCTTATTTTAAATATGTGTTATCCTTATTTTATTTCCTTATTTTAAATATGTGTTATCCTTATTTTATTTCCTTATTTTAAATATGTGTTATCCTTATTTTATTTCCTTATTTTAAATATGTGTTATCCTTATTTTATTTCCTTATTTTAAATATGTGTTATCCTTATTTTATTTCCTTATTTTAAATATGTGTTATCCTTATTTTATTTCCTTATTTTAAATATGTGTTATCCTTAAGATCGTGTATGAAATCATCAGTTAATCAGTCTGACAGAGTGTCATGTAGATTTTGAACAAGCTAACAACATAACTAAAAATTTGTTATTTTGGAACAATCAGGAAGTCATTTGCAGTTTTTTAAACATCAAAAAAATTTTTTGAGGAAGACTGCTTGGATAATTTTCCAAAAAACTAATTGACAACGTTAAATTTACAGTTAAATTACAACATTGGGTTGGTAAGTAAAAGTAAGTTAAATTTACAACGTTGTCCTATACTTCAATAAAACAACCTGCAACAACTTGGTTTTTAATCTATTTAGTTGCACATAAACTGAAAAGATACCAATATCACCCGGTGATACTGTTATAGTCATCTACTAGCTGGAGTATCAACTGCTAGCATTTCATACTTTTAACTCAGGAATTAATTTCACACTCATTTCAGTATATAGTAAGACTTTTTGAAATACTTCTAATATGTATTAGGCTAATAGGTACATAGATAGCTGGATCATTTTTGATATCCATTTCGATTGCTATTTGTTTTGTTTTGCAATTTTGAGTATATTTGTTCCAACTTTTATCAAATAAGACAACATAACATGAAGAATGTTTAACAATCTTAGTAAGTAATGATTTATTGTTAATCCATAATTAACAATATACAGGGTGACCACAAAGTATCCGCACAGATAAAGAGCTTAATAAAAAGCATGTTGAAAGTATTTGGAACACAAATTTTATTTTAAAACATTTATTGAACTATAACAATTATGATTCAAAGATTGAATTCGAATTTTCCTCCATCAGCAAAATAACAGGCCTGTAGGCATTTCGGGAATGCTTCGACGGTGGCGAGCAAGAAGGCAGGGTCCAGAGAATTTCAAGCTTTCAGTAGTGATTTTTTCAAACTTTCAATATTTTTATGCGGCTTTTGGCATGCCTTTGCTTCTAGGACGCTCCAGACTGAGAAATCCATCGGGTTAAGATCGGGGCTCGATGCAGCCTAACCCTAACCCTGACGGAGAAACGCGCACCATTCTAAAAAAACCAATTGAACATAGTTTACAAAGTATATAAAGTAAAGTATATAAAGTTTATGACATAATATTAACCAAAACAACAAATAAATAAGAAAATACATGCATAAAAGTGCTTTTATGCTTATATTTTCACAAGATGAAACCGTCTCGTGTGCGGATACTTTGTGGTCACCCTGTATGCTATTTTTTCTCATCCTAATGGTAATAATTTTAATACTTTACTGTCAAGAAACATACTAGTAAATAATTGCCTTATGCTAGCAGATGCATTATTTGGTGATCCATAAATAACAGTTGCTAGTAATTTTGGATCTTGTTTCTTCATTAGAAATAAGAATAAGTTCTAAAGTTTTATGAGTTAAAACTGACTATCAGTTTCTTTCAACTTGTCAGACAAATTGAAACTCTGTCAGTGGTATCATTGGTTTAATAGCAAATCTTTTATAGCAACTTTGAAAAAAGTGACTTCTAGATTCAGCCAAATAATTTGGTACTTTTTACCTTCATCATGACTAAACTACCTAATATCTTATATTAAACAAGGTTTTGATTTTACAAATATATATTATAAATTTGTATATTATTATATACTATTTATTTATAAACAAAATTTCACTAAGAATTTCAGTTATGCATATCTAAGCTTATACTGAATATTCTACAAAAAATAGCTGAAATGAAATTGTTATAGTATAGAATATAAGTTCAAATTTAATACTGAATATAAAAAAACAACAACAGACAAATGGAGCATAAAATGTACATGTGATGATTAATTACTGATAATCTAAATATATATCATAAATATCAATATTATTAATACATATAAAAAATAACTATTGATAATATAAATATAATTAATTAACTTGATAACATAAATAATTACTGATAGTATAAATATTTATTATAAATAAGGTACTAGGTAAAATGCAAACTGCGAACTGGTAAAATGCGAATTTTTTTACGAACCATCGTCCTATTGGTTGTTAATGATGTAATGATTTATTTCCGTTAAATAGTTTGTTTAGCGGTATATTTTACGGACTTTTAAGCGAAAAAATTAATTAAAAAAAATAAAAGGAAATTAAGTGAAACTAGATAAATACAATTAAAAAAAAAAATTTTTTAAACTATTTGATAGACTACCTGCCCAAACTAAACACTCAGTTGATCTAGCAGCACTTCGTTGCGAGTCAGGCTATAAGATAGTCGATGTAGCAGCACTCCATTGCAAATCAGGCTATAAGATGGTAGACATAGGAACACTCCGTTGCTAATCAGGCTATATGACACTCCGCGCATGTTTTACAGTTAAAAAAAATATAAAGATTTTAAATAAAGCTTTAAAATAGATAACTAAGAATTAAAGAGATTATTATTATTTTTATCATAACAATAATGGTCTTTAAAATATAATGTTTTGGTTCACAAAAAAAGTTCGCATTTTACCGGTTCGCAGTTCGCATTTTACCGAATACCCATAAATAATTACTGTTAAAAGTCTGATAAAACTATTTTACAGAAATGGAAAGAAAAAAATTTCTCTAAATAACTGAATAACTGAATATTAAAAAAAATTTTTACTAGGATTTGTACTCTTTCCATGTTTAATACCTAATGGTTTTAAGTGGTAATCCTAATGGTTTTAAGTGGTAATCCTAATGGTTTTAAGTGGTAATCCTAATGGTTTTAAGTGGTAATCCTAATGGTTTTAAGTGGTAATCCTAATTTTAAACCTAATGGTTTTAAGGCAATCTACCACCCAGTAGTACAGTCTTTATAATAGTAATAAAAACTCTATTCTGTTAACAGCTGAAAAATACTAACTTACAAATGATCAAGAAGTAATGACTTACTATCAAGAAAGAAATATATAACAACATCCTTTGCAAATAATTATTGATAAAATTGTAAGAAAGGTTATTAAAATGCAGATAAGATACAATGTAGGATTTAAGATGGAACGTGGTGGTGCACTTGAACTTCAGGGGAAAATAATTGTCATTTCTTTATTGGAAACAGAAATGTTGTCAAACCCCCCATACCTCCAACAACCACACTCTGCATACTTTCACCTTTCGACTCACCATAGTACCATCAAAACTTGTTACCTGACCACTGATTTATTATGAACCTAAAGCCCACCTTAAACTATTAAACTACCCCACCATTTATTTTAACATGTTATCATAACCCTAAACACTTGCTATTATTATCCTCTACAGTCCTAAATTTATTATTTTTGAAATTTCAAATAACTTTTTATTAAAATTCTTGAACAATAAATAAATATAAAGAATAGGTTTAAAAATATTTTTTTGAATTAAATTTAAATTCCTAAATTAGTTATTTTTTTCACTAATATAAAATTATTATTTTGAAAACAATTTTTTGGTGATGAAAAATAGTAAATTTTTTTATAAACTTCAAAATTAATAATTTTCATAATTAAATTAAATTTCATGAAGAAAAAAATGTATTTTTTTCTTCATGAAATTTAATTATGAAATAAAAAGTTTCACATTCATTAAAAACTTTGATTGAATGTGAAACTTTTAAAAATTTTAAACTTTTAAAGTTTTTTGGTACAATTATTATGTATGACACAATTCTCCTCCATAAAACTTTATTAGAGAACTGTGTTTAAAAAATAAAAATATTACCAATAAATAAAAAAATAAACCAGTTCAACCAGAATTTCTAGAAATCTTAGCTAAAAAACAGTTAATAAAAACAATGCGAACAATTTTTTATACTAATCTATGTAAAAAGGGAGAATTAACCAATTAACTAATAAGTATCTTCAAAAATAAGAATCAACCAGCAACCGATAAATAATCTTCTTTTATATTCGAGTCCTAAAAATGTAAGTAAAAAAACTAAGATAAAACTCAAAGCAAAATGAATTAAAGCATATTTATTCATTTTTTGCAGAAGTTTCAACAAATAAATTACCTTGAACTTTGAATACGAAAGAAAAATATCCCAACCAAATGAAGCAACAGCGATATATATTACTCTTAAATGACTTGGAATAAGATAAAAATTGATAGCCTAAAATAATTAGTAATTATGTTTTAAAGTTTCTTATCTAAGTTTGTTTGATCAGACACAAATATTTTGAAATATAATGATTTAAAATCACCTGTACTGGTGGCCAAACCATACAATCAACCTAACGATAAATAAGGTAAAAAATAATAACATAGACATTATTTTATAGCAAATAAAATTCTGAATAACATATTATTTTGGCATAAATAACATAATTATTTTGATATAAATAACGTAATTTTATAAATAACACTCTTTCTCTCTCTTTTATTTTTTAAATGTTGTTTTATGTCAACATTTATTAAAATTTTAAAATGAAAAATATATTGGAAGAATGCTGACCTAAAAAAGCATGTGTGTTGTTATACAAGTATACAAAAAGTCTGTATAATCAATTGTATTGTAATATAATTTTTTACATAACATAAATTAAATGTCAACATTTTTTTTAACTTAACTATTTCAACCACATATTGTACATTGTGTTTAATTATGTGCAAAACTTTTTAACTTTGGGGTCGATCATCCAATTTTGTTATACCCTTGAAAAAACAATTTAAAATGATGGAAAAAGCGGTGTTAATAGTTAACAGTTTTAAATCAATAGGGTGACATAGTTGGTCACAAAAAATTGAGTAAGTTCAGATGCATTGGTAGCAAAGGTACTAGATATGTATATACTTGGTGAAAATATATAATGCACATAACTTAAAATGTAATATAGTACAACATTTTCTTCTTTGGAAAATTGCATCAATTGAAAAGACACGTATCCAGATAACTAATACCATCCTCATTCAGTTCTAATTGACAACACTCTGATTGAATAATCGAGTATTGAGAAATAGGTAAACTCATAGCATCCAATTTACTGAATAACTTTAGTCGTTGTAAACACAGACTATTCTTAACTTCTTCTGAAGAAACATGATAATTGCTATCACAAAGATGCCTATTGTAAAAACAATCTAAACTTTATTTAATTTGAATTTTATTTAAAGATACATATAAAAATTAGTGTTCTCAATCTAATAATAACATAATCAAACTGATCATATGTAAGAAAGTATTTAACTACCTGTATATTCCAAAATTGCCTAATGGAGCTGTTTAAAATACTCCAGAAAGAACATATAGGTGATCTTGAAGATTATTTTTTTAACTAAATTTACAACTCCATAAAGCTTGACAAAGCATTTTTAGTTATGCTTGTGAATGCCTTATTATGCTTCCAGTCGTTGCAAAGTGGCTGGAATATAACCAAAATATAGCAAAAATAGGAAACGTCTAAATATAGTCATATTCACATTAAATCATATGTTTTTGGGGTCAGGGAATCTATTTCTGATATCAAAATTAGGTTTTGACCACTCTTAACTAAGGTTGGATACAAAAATACCCCTGAATGTTATTCCCCTTATCCTAAAATTGATGGCAATGAGTTAATGATTTAATTTTTGTTACAAGCTCATTTTAGATTTAACTAAATTAGAAGTAATAAATTTCACGGAATAATCTTTCAGAGATAAAAAGTTATGACAATATAAAATTTATAACCTCCTCACTTTGGGGAGGGTTTAAAATTTATTTAGTCATAACTTTCAAAATCTAAAATATTATTCCATGAAATTTAAAACATGCCATAGTCAATTTTAGTCATAGTCAAATTTAGTAAAATATAATTAACAAATTCATTCATTAACTCATTGCCCTCACTGTTGGGGTAAGGGAAATAACATTTTGGAGTATTTTTGTTTCCAGCTCCAATCACTGCAATTTTTTTGAAAGTATTATCATTTGACATTAGCATAAAGATGCTTAAATTTGGAGTTTATGTGCAACGTCTGTAAGTGTTAAATATGTAACAACAAGTAAATATAATTTGTGCTAATGTAACTATTGTTTTTAAGGGTCAAAAAACATTTAATTAGCATCCCATATAAAAAAATTAAAATGTTTAGAATTGTGAAATCATATAAACAAAACAAGTTCATACAAGTTACAAGTTTTCTACAAGTAAAAGTTTAACTTCTTTGGGAAGTAGCAATTCCATTTTTTTCCTGCTTTGCAGCAAGATGATCACTGGATCTGAGTTACACAGAAGTCTTCTCATTAAATCCAGGTTTTAATTTTTTCTAGAAACTTTAAGTTTAAAAAAGTTTTTTAAACTTAAAATTTGAAGTTTTTTTCTTTGTTTCTGCTGCTTCTTCAGATAGAATACCAATAGGTAAGCTTTTGCTGTGAACTACCTGGTGAGAGTGTATTAACAGTTTGTGTGAACCCTGTGGCATATATTACCAGGGGTATAGATAAACAAAGTGTGGGGTTGTCTTCTTGCAATAGGTCTCTAGAGCCTCAGGATTTACCACTTTCATACATGAGACAGTGCATAGTATGATGTGCAAACACTTGATTTGTTCTTTGTCAATACTTAATACTTCACTAGAATAATCCTGAAAACATTTTTATTTATAAATATTTTATAGATCATATATTGTTTAGTTTAAATAATAAAATTTATAAGGAAAGGTAGGATTTTTATTAAAAAACATACCCTGAAAAAATTGTCTTGCCATATTACCATCGTTGGAAAATCCAGGTCCATCAGATGTAGGAACATTCCAGGTCCATCAGATCTAGGAACATTCCAGGTCCATCAGAGGAACATCCACTACCAAACTTTTTTTTTTTGATTTAGCTCCTGAATAAGAACATCTTTGTTCTCGTTAACATATTTAAAACGTATTGGTCTATAGTATAAAGTTGATGAAGGCTTCTCATTAACCCAAAGAATTTCAGATGTAGCAACTACAGACAGTTGAAGTGGTACCAGGCAAGTCAGGAATAGACTATCCTCAACAGAAGAATCCTTATGAGTACAATCTTCAGTTTTCTTCTCCTTTGCCTCTTGCACTGAATTATATAAGGAATACATCTTGCTATATCCTCTTTTCTTTTTATTTGATAATTATTCTTGGATTATTTCGATTGTAATAACAGAGCAAGTGCTTCATTATTACTATAGCAACCACCCTACTGTACTACTCCATCATCTTTACTACTGAGTATTTCCTGCAATACCTATGCATTTTATAAATTTTCATCCATCTTGAGATGCATCATAGCAGCAGATAGCAGCTAATCTGTGGACTTTTGGTTGTTTTTCTGATTTTCTTTTCTTTGTCAAGTATGACCCATAATCTTTTTATAAACATAGATGAGTATTTAACTTTATGAAAATCCCAGAAATTTTTTTCTATAAAAATCCCAGAAAAATACTTTATTAAAAATTGATTGTATTAACAGAAAAAACTTTCGCAAACTTTTAAAATGGAATTTATAATATTTAACTTTTTACAAAAAAGAGTTTCTAATATTCGAAAAAGTTTATTTGAATGAATTAAAAAGCAAAATAAGCAAAAAAAAAAAAAAAATGTTACGAAAATTTATCTTGTGAAAATTTTAATGATAGAAAACATATTTGTTTAAATACAAAAGTTGCCGTATTTAAAATTTTATGCGAAAATATATAACTTTTTTTTTCAAATTAGTAGCAAAAAACATCTGGAAATTTCTGGAAAATTGAAAGAGTTATAAGTGAATTTTCGGAATTCCGGGAACTCACGGAAAAAACTCAACTATGTATAAAGTGTTAGTTAAAGTAATAAAGTATTCATTTAAATTAATTTCATCTTAACGTATTATAACGTGTGGTAAATCTATTACTGCAAACTTTTTTTATATGAAAAATCTTAAAAATTATATCCTAATGTAAAAAAACCTGCTAAAAAATTAAAAACTCTGTTTTTTTAAAGATTTATAAAATTATAGGTAAATATGTATAAATATTTTCAAATTCTATAAGGATAGGTTATTTCTAAATGCCACAGATGTATTGCCAGTTTTTATGTTTTTTACAATTTTAACACATATTTTAACAACTTTTTGACTTTGAAGCATCCTAAAAGGTCTACAAAATTGATCAAGTGCATTATAAAATAAACATTCATTACCATTAACATATGCATATTAATTGCAAATAATTAAAAGTCGATATACAACCTCATTTCATTTTGATTTTTTTGTTAAAATCTGGCCCACTATGCATTGCTCCATTGCTTGTTAAGATCGCTTGAATTCATTTATCATTGATATTTTTGTATGAAGCTTTAAGTGTATGCCCATACCTTCTAGTTAAAATCAAGGTAATTCTATATACATAGATTATCCAGGCCATATTTAAAAAATCCAGAAAATTGTTTCGGTACAATATCCAGAAAAAATCTGCAATATATTTACCCTTATATTCCTCCTAATTTTGATTTTAGATGAATTGTTTCTATTTTTTTTCAAACTTCTCTTTTTCTAAGAGCGATGAGTGAAAAAAAATATATTACAAAAATCTATACCTAAAATTGTATGTATAGCAAATGTTTTGGATATCCAGGAAAACTAAAAGTTGAAAAAAATATCCGGAATTCATGAAATATTCGGAAAAAGATAATCCCTGTATATAAATAATATTCTTTCAAAAAACTTGCTTGTCTCTTTATAGCCACAAATTTTATGAGCAACTACGATTTTCTTGTTAATAGCTGCACAATATGAGTGACATTTTTCCAATCAATAACACCTGCATAAATAGGTCTATATGAAAGATTTGTCAACTTGTTAAAATTATTTTTTTCTTTTTTATATTAAATTACTATATTTTTCCAGCAACCTATAAATAACTGATCATTTAGGGTCAGATGAATTGTTCCAGTCTTTTCTATGAGCTAGTTATATCTAATTGAATTAAACAGATATTTAAATCAATTGAATCATGAAGCAATGAAATATTACCTAGCTTTAGGTTCATCTAAATTTAAAGCAAAACATTGATATATGCTACGATTTGTTGAAAGGTAAGGCATAAATTCAAGGCGAAAAAATTGTCTAATAAAAGACGTAAAACTTTTCCACCAAGTTTAGCAACTGTCTGTGTGATTTCAACGATTAAATTTTGTAAAAAAATTACTAAAATCAGCACCTTACGACACACAAAAGCTAGTTTTCAAAATATTGGTTTAATAAAAATAAAAGTTTTGTTTTCAGCAGGCTTGTTTTCACTGTAAATCTATTAAATTACATTCACAAAAATGTAAACTTGGTTTTACATACATTTCATCAAATAACAGGCAGCATTTTTTCAGAAATAGTTAATGTTTCAAATACATTTTTTATAAATTTTTTAGTTTATGAGTATTTGGATGAGGGGGTGAAAGTGTCACAAAAAATTGATAACAATATCTTGATAGAAGGTATAGTTCTAAATCTCTTTGTACAACTGACATAGAGTAACACTTATCTCTAACAGGCACAATCTGAAGTTGTAGTTGTTTAATCAAAAAACTTAAGACTTTTGATTGAAAAACTTTTATTAGATTTTTCTCCATATGTAAATTCACAAATGATTTAATTCCTTGCTGAAAAGCTGCTAGCCATCTTAAACATAATTCTTAATCACTTGGAAACTTTTAAACAAAATTCTTAATCACTTGGAAACTTCTAAATCTGTGCTGTCATTTCCACAACAATTTCCTACTGAGGCATGTTTGAAATGAGCTCATAAATTTGTTTAAAAAAAGAGAATATAAAATTACTAATTATTTTTTATTATAACCACAAAAATAGGTTTATCTAGTATTAAAATAATGTTTTTAATAAAATTATCTTTTATTATAATAATGTAAGGTTCTTCATGGCCTACTATATTCACAGCTGTATACTTTTCATTTTTGAGGGGGATATTAGGAGCTCGATTTTTACTAGAAAAAATGGCTGTGCAGAACTTTTTTTTAAAAAAGCAATTTAAATCTTAATTTTTAACTTCTAGTTCTTCAATGTAAACGAGGAAGTTGGTTTTTATTATATATTTATTCAAAATAAAATCAGTATCAAAGATTTGATGGACCAATGTGTAATACTTGTTAGAGAATCGACACAGAATCATTAAAATTCATATGTTTATGTTTGCAATACTACAGTAATAATATATTATTATAATATATATATTATAATATATTATAAATATATATATTTATAAGTTACTTTTACTACTTTAAAAGTATTAAAATGAATATATAAATTAAAGGATTAATTTAGATTATATAAATACATTATATAATCTAAATCTATCAACATATGTTGCAAAGCATCAGTATTTTTTAAATGCCACTCTTTTAATTTAAGCTATAATAAAATACACATTTTTACTTGTATATTAAAGGTGCTAAAGTCAATGCTCTCTTCAATTTCATATTGATATTGAATCAATATGAAGCCAAACATCTTGGACTTTAAATAGTCCCTGTATATACATATATGAAATTTGATAAATAATAATGAGCTTAAACTTATATATAACTAAAAATAAAAAAATTATTGCTAACTTAAGTTAAATTTTATGTTGTTATTAAACTTTGGTGTGTGTCAACAGTTACAATTACATATATTACCATGTAAACACCCAATGCTTTTTCTTTAATTTCGTGTTTAGTCTTTTCAACAGTTTGTCCCTGTAGAATACTAATTGCTAAAACAAAGAAATAAAATGAATAAAGTGAAAATAAACAATTTAAATGATTATTGAATTATTATTAAAAAAGGCTAAAAAAAAAAGTTTACTTGAAACAAAGTGCACTTAAAAAAAGTACAATAAAAAAAAATCTATACTTATAACAATAATTATTTATATATATAAAAATATGTATACTTAAAACAAAGATTACTTAAAAAGAAGTATATTGTGAAAAACGGAGAGCAAATCAGTTGATCTGCTAACAACTTCTTTGCAACAATTGCATGTATAGATCCTTTCATAACCAGCCTATCAAGAGCAATATACCAAAAATGTGAAATTGGAGCAGCAACGCCACCATAGATCATCATAAACCATGTGCGCCTAAAATAAAACCATATAGATAAATACGGCTTTGAAATATAAACTTATGACATTTATAAAAAATTTATAAAAACCTTAATTGTTAATGATTATTTACAATAATATTTATCAGATTTATTGTCCAAACGCAAACGAACAAATTCATTAACCAAAACTAAATACAAACTTCAAATAAATAGAAATATACTAAAACATTTTTAAAAAAATCAAATATTAATTTTACCTTCTCATCCTTTTATACTTAATTAAAAAAAGCAATTTTAATTTCAAAGTTGAACAATTCAATTTTCTTTAAAAGTCTTTAAGTACTTTCAATACAACTTTATGGACTGAGTTTGAATTCAACACATATTTTAAGTTGAAAATTTTTAAAAATTAAGCAGATTTTAATAGATTTTGAAGAATTTTTCAGGAAATTTTATGGGGAAACTTGGAAAAATGATTTAAAAAATTAGGATTATTTAGGAGAATTTTTAATTTTTTTTCCCCAAAATTAAAATATATTCAAAAAGTTTAATAAAAAATTTGAAAGTTTAAATTAAATGTTCAAAAGAAAACTTTCAAAAAAGTTCAAAAAACAAGTTTAAATTAGGAGATTTTAGGAGTATTTTTGAAATTCAAGTGAATTTTAGGAGAATTTAGGTCTTTTTAAGGAGCTTTTCAAATATTAGGATATTTTAAGATTTATTAGGTGTGGCCACTCTGACTAGGTTTTTAATATTCAAATCAGCGCTAAACCACTTGTGCCACAACTGCATTGGATTTTATTTGCTATATTTTTATTAGGCTATTATGCCACCTAATGAAATAATATATACTATGTTTGGAATCCAAAACTAATGTAGCGCTTGTTTTGGAAAATTGAAAGGATTTTTTATAAAACCTTTTGATTTCTATTCATCACCAAATTTAATTTATTTGTCAAAAGAATCTAGCTCAAATTATAGTTGGAAAAAGACAAAATATTGGTGCTTAACTTTCTTATGACCTAAAGTACAAGAATCAAGCATATATCACCACTAACAAAATGTGAAGTACACTTTCATTAACAGTAAATAAATTAATGTTATTGTAGATATACAACATCAACCCTCAGAATTAGGGTCAGCATTCGGCAATGCCAACTTAACTGCCGACCTAAAAGTGTTTGAGATCAGCAAAAAATTGCCAACCTTGTTTCTATACTTTATTACAAGACCTTTGTATCAAATAATTTTTGCCGACCTGATGCCGACCTTAAAAATTATGGTCGGCAATTTATTGCGGACCTCATTTTTCCTAATTCTGAGGATTGCAACATCATACCACAAAAATACTCCAAGAATTGAAGATCTTTGCCTGTAAGACAAGATAAGACAAACTTGACTTAACTTTTATCAGTGGCAGAAAAACACATTTGAATCTTATCTATTATATCCATTATATTACATTGAAAATGTAAATAAAAAGCAATTGATATATTGACCCTATTTATTTGCAAATGCATTCACTGTGAATCATAGCAACTGCCCAATACATTAATATTCCCCACAATTGCAATACAAATACTTGAAACACTCTGCCAAATAAGGTTAATCATTAACACTATTACTATTATTGTTACTATTATAATTATAATTATTATTGTTATTATTATTATTATTATTGTTATCATCATGATATTAATTTTAATAATAATTAGACTTCTTATTGTTGCATGGCAACAACAATTAACTGCTAATGAAATAAATGTAATAAAGTAATAATGCATAGATGAGTATTTGACTTTATGAAAATCCCGGAAATTTTTTTTCTATGATAATCCCGGAAAATTATTTTATTAAAAATTAATCGCAATTAACTGACAAACAGAATTTGGATTATTTAACTTTTTACAAAAAGGAATTTCTAATATTCGAAAAAGTTTGAATGAATCAAAAAACAAAAAAAAAAAAGAAAAGAAAAAAAAATTGTTACAAAAATTGATCTCATGAAAATTTTAATTATAGAAAACATATTTGTTTAAATGCAAAAGTTGTCGTATGTAAAATTTTATGTAAAAATATATTAACTTTTTTTCAAATTAATATCAAAAAACATCCAGAAATTTCTGGAAAAATTAAAGGTGTTTTAAGTGAATTTACGGAATTCTGGGAATTTTCGGAAAAAACTCACCTATGAATAATGTAATATTTTGTTTTCAACTTAATTTAGAAAAACAGAACGCATTTATTTACATTTTTTAGTCGCTTATTTCATTTCATTTTTTTAATTTTTTTTTTTTTATTTTCTTTGTTGTTTTTTGTTTTTTTTGTACATAAATTGAATGATTTAATTAGTGAGAACATGCAAGGTAAGGTAATTCAAAAAACTACATTTTAAAAAAATATCTGCTGGCACCCCAATAATGCATTCTATTTAATTAAAATCTCAAATGAGGCAAAATTATATAAAAGCTTCAAGATAATCATTGTTGAATAAAAAATTATTATTTTAGATTTTATTGCATAAAAAATGTGAATTTTTAACAAAAAAATAAAAATATATTTTTTAATAACATATTTTTTATAAAATGATTATTACTTTTTAGATTTTTATATAATTTCATGAGACAATCTTAATGCAAATCCTAACCTTAATTCTTTCCCAGATGTATACTCCCGACAGAAGTATGTACACTCTTGACAGAAGTATGCACACTCCCGACAGAAGTATGCACACTTTTTTTTTAGAAAAATAAATTAAACAATGTTAAATTTATTAGTACTAGAATTTTTTTATATAAATAATCTAGCAATTGAAAAGGATGTTACTCTTCATTGGAGGAGTAATTTGAATTTTGCATATATTATGTTTAAGTTAAACTATGTAATTTACGACAGTCGCAGCTACACTTGAAGTTGTATTATGTATTACATAACAGTTGCAGGTGTTTTTGGTGTATTGGAATTTTTTTTAATAGCAAAATAAACTACTTTTCTTTATAACTATTATTTTAACTCCTCAAATATAAAGAAAATGCCAAATATACCCAATATAATATTTATAGACAATATATATATATATATATATATATATATATATATATATATATATATATATATATATATATATATATATATATATATATATATATATATATATTATAAAACATAATATTTCTAATAAAGTTGATTAAATTGATTTAAACACTGCATGTTTAAATCAATTTAATCTCATCAAACATGATGAGATTAAATTAAGAGTTGTAGAACCAAAGGGAAAACAGAAGAAAGAAGGAGATTTGGTTGCGAACAACATTTTTTTGAAAGAAAAAGTAAGGATATTTAAGGAGAAAACGATTACTTTAAAAACATACCTTTATTTTTTTCAATAAATTTTAAATATTAACAGAGAAATTATTATTACTTTGTATATATATATATATATATATATATATATATATATATATATATATAAATATTAATATATATATATATATATATATATATAATAACAAAAATAGGTTTGAAAACTATTAAAAATCTATATATTATCTTTTTTATTAACAAGTATAATCCATTCACTTTAAACAAATTTTTAGATAAATAATAAAAAAAATTAGGAGAAATTAAGGAGAGTAGTCAAATTTTAACTTTTTTTAAGGTTATTTAAGGATATTTAAGGAGGTTTTTCTTTTTTAAGGATATTTAAGGTTCTTAAGGAGGTGTGGGAACACTGTATAGTGAATAAAAAATGAAAAAACTTGGTACTTTATAAAATTCTATATACTATATTAGCAACATAGTATCATATTCAGTAAAATGAAATCACTTATGACACTGGCATTGATATAATAACCTGAACTTATTTTTCTTTAAATATGCAAAATTTTAATTTAACCAAAACGGTTTGATTTGTCATTATTAAAGACAACTGCATGCATTAAAACATGCATGCAAGTCATCTTTAATAATGACAAGATATAGTCATTAAGATGGCTGTAAGCTAATTTTTTCAACAAAGAATAATTTTTTTTTCAAAATCAACACATTTTACATTAAAAAACAAAAAATATATTTTACTTTACAATCATATTTTACAAACAATTAAAATAAATATTATAAAAAAGTACAAATAAAATGGTTAAAAATAATTTATAAAATAAAAATTATATCAAAAATAAAAACTTTAGAAAACTGGTGCAAGGACATGGTGAAGTAAAACTAATTCAATATTAGATGTTTTTCAGAAGCAACTATTTCATCATGTATAACCAATTTGACTAAGTCATAAGCCCAACTAACATAGAAAAGTCAATATAAATGATTTTATAACTTTAAAGATACATAAAAAAAAAAACACATTAAAAACTAACTTAAAATCGTAGTCCCTGTCTTTTTTTGAAAAGTATTTTTCAATATTTTGTTGAACAAAATCAGCTGATCCACACAACAAAATTGACAAAAAAGTATTTGTGTACAATAAATATTTAGGGCTAAAACTGAACTCATACACTGAAACAAAATTTTGATGAATCGAAGTTCTATAAGGAAATCTCTTTAAACATCTCACAAGTGATATTGTTTTTGAGTAAAAAAACATTTCTCAAAACAATGTTTTGGTTCAGCTTTATTTTCCCCTAAAAAATTAAAAACTTTTAAAAGATGAAAAAACATGAAACAACTTATAAAAAATTTAGATATTTTATTATCACTAAATACAAACAAATTTAAAAACAGTTTATTTTGTACTTCTTAATTCATAAATACAACTTTTGTTAAGTAACATACTAAAAATAATTTAAAGCATTTGTAAAATATTTAAAAACAGTGCAAAAAAAAAAAGAAAAAAAAAGTAACTGGTGACATAACAAATGCATAACATTATGTTAAACTTTAAAAAGCCATAGCACGTTTCCATAGTAGCTAATTACATAATTGATGATTATAACCAATTACAAAGTCATTATTCATTGGGGTATGCTTTCTTTAAGTTTTCTTTCCTTAAAATTTAAACAAGAATTATACATACACTTGCTAATTCTTAATTATATGTATCTATGTATGTATGTATGTATGTATGTATGTATGCATGAATGTATGTATGTATGTATGTATGTATGTATGTATGTATGTATGTATGTATGTATGTATGTATGTATGTATGTATGTATGTATGTATGTATGTATGTATGTATGTATGTATGTATGTATGTATGTATGCATGACAAACATATCATTTATGTATAAATGTTATGCTATGTTAAGTTATGTATGTATGTATGCATGCATTTTATAATATACTAGAATAAGATAAACAATTGCTATTACTTTAATGATTTTATTGATAATAATAAATAGTGATTTATTGTTTTTTTTTTTTTTAAAAATAAACTATATTATAAAAATATATAAAGCTGTATTTAATTTAACTGAAATGTAAAATAAAAATACAGAAATTATTTTTCACTTAAAAAAGGCTCTCATAAAATAAAACAATTATAAGAGGTTGTTAAAAACAAAATACTTTATAAAAGTGGTCCATAATTTTAAAAGGGACCCATTAACAAAATTCCATAATACATATTATCGAATCTCAACATATAACACGTTACTACACATTAAAAGTCAATAATTTCACCTTGTGCTTGGAATATGATAAGAAGATATTCCAACATAAAGTAGACACGTTTATATATAACAACCTCATGTGACTGGGGATTAAATAGAAGTTAATGGTCTAAATTAAACTAAAAAAGTTAGTAAAGAAAAAGTAATGCAAAAATAAAAAAATATGTAATAGACAAACCATAATAAAAAAGATACAAAAAAAATGGGTTTACCTGAATTGGAGGCCAGACACAACAATCAGCCTAAAAAAATTTATTAAAAATAAATTTATAAGCAAAAATAAGTAAAAAAAATAAAATAATTCACAGTTACCAGTTTCACAGTTAGTTAAAAAAATACCAAATAAACAGTTAGAGCCTTTTCCTTAATTTCTTCTTGAGTCTCTTTCATTGTTTGATTCTCAAGGTATCCCATCACTAATAAAAAGTTTGAAAACTCTGTATGAATTCAAATCGTATATAAACAAATGTTGAAACAATCTGAAAAAAGAAACTACAAATTCGTTTCTAACAGAGTCAATATTGTTATAATTGTAATTAATATGGTATTGTTATTATAGTACTATTCAAGTTAATGTAAATAATATTTCTAGTATTATACTATTGCAAATGATATATTGATTCAATATATAATACATTGAATATTGAGTTAATATATTATTATAAAGATATTTTGAGTATTATATTGTTGAAAATGATAAATTGAGTTTTATAATGCTACTGGTTTATTAATTCAAAAGTTAATTGGCAATTTGTCTTTTTTTACTTGGTCACCTCATTCAATCTACTTTTTAAATTTTTTTTTATTTTGATTCAGTTTTATTTTCTATTTTATTTCCTTCATTCTATTCTCTTTTTCAATTTTCTCTAATTTAATTTTACTTTTCTTTTTTTTTTTTGTTGTTTAGGTGCTCCAAGAAGACCTAACAGTTTTATGATAACTGTAGACATTTATTTTTATCTTTATTTAATGTAATTCACCTCTTTAACTCTGAGAGGGCCACTGACATTGGTAGGCTAATTTATTGTGGTGAAAACCCTGTCTTAAATCTTTAACTCCAAAACACGAACCTTGACATATACGAACATTGCACAGAGAAACAAGTGAAGTATGGTACTATTAGAGATGTGGTAAGAACTGAACTCTATCACTACACCACTCCCGCAAAATTTAATCAGGAAGTTTGTGCTTTCTTTATTATCAATGTAGCTTTTCTGACTAGAGCCAATATAGAGACTTAAACCTCTTGGTTCTGATCCAGAACTCTAACCACTATATAACATATATATTATTATTTGTTTTTATTTTTATTTATAACAGCTGCAAATTTTAAAATCAAACTTTTATTTAACTTATGCTAAATAACAAAAAAGAAATTTAAATAAATATATAAAAAATAAAAAGAAATGAAAATAAATATATTATCCAAATGTCATGGAATAAAAATTAGCAAAAATTTTTACAGTTAAAAAGCCTTAAAATCTAACATATAATAAATGTTAATAGTCAAATAAATTGTATTTTCTAAAAATTCTTGGATTCAACAATCAATCATGTTGATGTTATTATTATCTGGTCTTCCATAAACTACAGCTAAATTACAATTAAAAAAAAATTATAAATAAAATACAAAATATAAAATACAAAAAAAAAATTAAAAATGATCCATTTTAAAACTTACTTAAAAAAAAATATCCAATAATAAATGGAGCAAATACTAACTGATCTGCTAATAACTTTTTTCCGACAATAGCATGTATAGAGCCTTTAACAATAAGCTTGTCAAGACCAATATACCAAAAATGGTTGATAGGAGCAGCAAAAATGGCATACAACAACATGCAACCTGTTCTCCTAAAAATAATATATATATATATATATATATATATATATATATATATATATATATATATATATATATATATATATATATATAAAATAAATTTTTTAAATTTTTGAGTAAACAAACTTAACTAATTATTGGTGAGGTTACTTTTAACTAAGAACTGAGCAAAACTTGAGTTTAATTGGATAATGTTTATTTTGATTGAGTTTAATTGGATAATCTGCAGTAACAAATTTAAACTTAGGCATACCATTTAGGAGCAAAATTGAAGTTTTCCTATTTTTAACATAAAAATTAAAGACAAATCAAGAGACAACCTACGATATATTTTTTTACTTAATTCTGGTTTGAAGTTTGGAGCTTTTTGGTATAACGGGAGTAAGATAACTAATTTCAAAAACCTATTTGGGGTTTTATGCTATTTTGGAAGGGCCAGTGGAAGAGGGGGTATAGACACCTATTTTAAACAGCTTAAAATTTTTTTTATTTATTTAGACCCTTTGTTTTTGACCTGATGTCGATCTCACACAGATTATTGCCAACCTTTTTTTCCAAATTTCGAGGGCTGTATGTGTGTGTATATACATATATATATATATATATATATATATATATATATATATATATATATATATATATATATATATATATATATATATATATATATACATATATATATATATATATATATATATATATATATATATATATATATATATATATATATATATATATATATATATATATATATATATACATATATATATATATATATACATATATATATATATACATATATATATATATATATATATATATATATATATATATATATATATATATATATATATACATATATATATATATATATATATATATACATATATATATATATATATATATATATATATATATATATATATATATATATATATATATATATGTATATATATATATATATATATATATATATATATATATACATATATATGTATATATATATATATATATATATATATAATATATATATATATATATATATATATGTATATATATATATATATATACATATATATATATATATATATATATACATATATATGTATATATATATATATATATATATATATATATATATATATATATATATCAGCGCTCAAAATAGCAGCCAATCAATGATCGTCTAATTTTTAAAAAAATGATATTTTGATCTCCCAAAATCAATTCTGAATGATCAAATTTGATTGGCAAGAATTACAAGTCAAACTTTATATTAAAAATTCCAAAACATTCCAAAACAAACGTCACAAAAACATTAAAAAGACAAAAGTAAAACATCGACACAAAAATGTTAAAAGTAGAACATTGCTTTAAAAAAAATTATATAACAAAAATTTATATAAGCAAAAAGTTTATTACCCATTAATGAACTATTTTGAATGAATTGAATTTTTTTTAACAAATCAAATTTGCAATACATTTAGAAACAACATTTCTGTGAAACATTTTGAAAAATAATAAATAATAAATAATGCGAGTCTACGATATGTAGAAAGAATGTTGACTTGAAAACATTGTAATGCTTTAGGCAAAATAAAATAGATTTTGGTTAAAATTTTTAGAAAATAAGTTTTAGAAGTAAAATTATAAAAAAAGTATAAAAATAATCATAAAATGGATGTGGGAAAAAGGCGAAAAAAAATTATTTCTTTTAAAAGGAAATCAGGATCTGAATGACCCACTAAGAAAAAAGTAAAAGTTTATAAAAGAAAGTTATTATTACAAACAGCTAATAAGTAGAAAGATTCTACGCTTGCAAAATATAATGTTAATGAATTAATCAGATGATATATCAAACTCTGACAATCTGATCAGAATTTAATATATTATCTGATTGGTTCTAAGTGCCTTTTTCTTTGGTTCCATAACATATTTCTGTTGTTTTCTACAACTTGCATGTTCTGCAATGTATTTAGTTTAAGTTAGTTTCCCACAAATCTCAACAAAGTTTTACTCCAGGTTTAGCAGAGTTTATTAGAAATCAAATTTTTTGATACAAGAAAACTTTAGTTTTTTGCCATACTGTGACCAGTTCCCTGAAAAAACTACTGTTTATATTTATAATGGTGAAAAATACTAGGGAGTATAAATAAAATAAATAAAATAAGTCAAATCATTCACAATAAAATCAGTCAAATCATTCACAGGCATTTCAGAAAGCATTGGAGATATAGGTTAACAAAACCCTGACTCTTTTCTTTACAAAATTATTACATTTGTTGTAACTTTTTAATGAGAGTATTATATATACAAATTTTTGCCTGTGTCCTCTAAGTAATTATTAAAGAGAGACAGCAGAGCCAACTCCTTAGTGAGCTAACAAATGTGATTGTTAAAAGTTTTTTTAGAGCAGCATTAGCAATAATTAAATCAATAGCTTTATACTGTAATAACGAATTATTAAAATTTAAATAATTTGCATAAGCTGTGAAGATGAACTTAGTCACCATGGAATATAATAAAATATAACAAACTGAACAATCATTTGTAGCTTAGCAAGTTGTCTTTCAAAAGCTTAAAGTACTAAGCTGATTTTCTTGTTCAACAGTAGAAGTTTTATAAACTATAACAGTTTTGACATCAACCTTGCATCATGCAAAGCGCCTGGTCTATTAAATCTTAGATGCAACTATGCTAGTTGAATGAGTTCCTTGAATTACCTCTGTTGAAATTTTGACTCATTATTTCTTGGCAAAAATTGGTAAAAAGATCTTTAATATTTTTTTTTAATCAAAGACTGTGAAATTTGAGGGAAATCTTTCGGAAATCTTTTTGATCTAAATTATAGTTAAATACACCTTAGTTCATTAATTCTCCATTAAAAGATAATTTATTATTAAATCATTTCAATTACTTTGGGTTGTTTCAAAACATTATGTGGTATAAACATAGTTGTACCAGTTTTTAAGGCTCTTTTGTGAGAACGTTACTTAGTTTCATTAGTAAGCAACCAGGGTTGATATTTAACTGTGGCAAATAAATCAACTGATTTTTTTGTCCAATTTTCGTTATTGTTAAATAATAGAGATTCTCATAATTTTTTTTATAATTTTTGTATGAGTAATGAGTGAAAAAGCTTAAAAAACAAATATATTACAAAAATATATTTCTAAACTAGTATATATGGAAAACATTTTTGATATCCGGAAAAACTAAAAGTTGAGTAAAATATCCGGAATTCCAGAAATATCCGGAAAAAGATAATCCCTGATCACATATGTGTTTTTATACAATGTGGTATATAAACATACCACATTTTTATTTTTTTATAAAAAAATTAAATTCTTTTGTTTTTTTACCTACAGTTACTTCTCTAAAATCATTACATCTACTACTACTCACTCCTACTAGATTGTTTTGATTTTTTTTTTTACTAGGTTGTTTTGAATTATCATATTTTTATACAAAAATAAAATAGTGAATATAAAAAATATATAATAGTGAATATAAAAAATATGATTGTAAAATAGTTACACAAAGTAAAATAGTTATACAAAGTAAAACAGGCAATTAATTGTTATTTTAAAAAGTTTAGTTCTTATTTATTGTATGTACATTTTGTAAGCAATTGTTTCACAAGAAATGTATGATTAGGTATCAGCATGTAGAGACGTGTGATTAGGTATCAGCACATAGTTTCAGTAAAGAACGGTATGTATAGAAGCAAAAAACTTAAGGAGAGTTCGTTCAGTTAAAGAACAAAAATGCCCTAAATTGTGTATGTTCGGAAATTCGGAAAAAAAGATGCTAAAACCATGTCATAATCATCATGGTTTCAGTGTCCTTGTTTCCTTGTGATAAGATGCAACTACTTTTAACGAATTAAAGCTAAGCAATTATAGCACACAAAATTTCTATGATACAAACATGACCATCATAAAATAACAAACTTATAATAATAAAAACTTGTTTATTCACTTTTATATAAAATTAAAAAGTCTTTTTTAAATTATATTTTAACTAGAAAAATTAATTCTTAAAGCAAAAAAAAACAACAACAAACAATTGAAAAAGTTAAGAAAACTTACTTGAAATTATAAGGAGCGTTTTTGTTATGTAAATATTTTTCAAGTTGTTGTTGAATGCAATCTCCAGTGCAACAAAGAAATATATAGATAGCAGTATTGGTATAAAATAAATATTTTGAATTAAATAAATTTTTATATGCTTGAACTGCAGTTTGTTGTATTGAAAGATATCTTTTCGAAAAATTAAAAAACTGCTTTATACTTGTAATATGAACTTTTTTGGAGATAAATAAGTACATTTTGTGATGCTCATATGTAATAATAAGATATTTTTACTCTAAACTCACATGCTAAAAAATAATCATCATTATCACCGTCAGCATTATCATCATAATTATCATCATCAGAAAAATGATAACAATGATGATGATACTATCATTATTATCATTTTTCTAATTCAAAAAACCTATATTTTCAACACTATTATTTATAATCTAAATTAGCTTTTATCAGATCCAACATCATATAGTGTGCAAATTTCACCTTTATAAGGTGGTAAATATGAACTACTTATGAACTTACAGTGTAGAAAGCTTTATTTAAGCATTAAAAATCCTGAAAGAATTGAATAATAAATTTCTAATAATTTAAATGATTTTTTATATTTAATACTATTATAAATAACATAAATATTTTTTTAAAAAAAAATTAATATGTTCTATAATATTATTACACAGTATTATTCTTTTATTTATGTTCCAGTTAACATATTGACTGCTTTTTAAAAAACAATAAAAGATATATATAAATATAAAACCATCAGATTTACAAGTACAAACTAGCAGCAAATATAATGTCTCTTTTAATCTTGGTTATTCCGTCAGAAAATTTATTTTCTAGTTCAGTGTTGCCAATAGCTTTTGCTGCTTGACACATTTGACGAAGTAATTCATCAAGTCGTCTCATACAACGAATAACACTCCCTTTAAAACAAAAACAATATAACATTACAAAGTATTAACAAAACTTAAAAAAAATTTTTGTTAACATTTAAAAAAATTAATTTCAAAATAATAATTGTAAAAACTCGTAAACAAGGAAAATGTTTGCAACAAAAATTATAAAATAATAGCATTATAACAAAAACCTTGTTACTAAATTACTTGCAAAAAAGAAAAATGGTAGAAAATGTGTACACTTGAGTCACTTTTATATAACAATACCTTCAAAAACATCAGTCATTTTACATATATCCGCAAAGGTAGAGCCTGTAGACCATGCATAAACAACATCCATCATCTGGGGTTTAAAAGAGTCAATATATTCATCTACATCAATTTCCATTTTCGCTTCTTCAGAAATTTTTGCTATTCGCCTAGCAGACTCCTTTTTTAAAAAAATTAAAAAAAAAACATGTAAGAAATACAAAACATATTTATGTAATTTAATTACTAAACAAACAATATAGTACAAAAATATAGAAATTTGTAAGCTAGTAACTTAATTTGCAAACTTTTATTAACTATACTATTGTCTACAAAAATGTGTAAAATCAATTTCTATACGATAATAATGCTTCAAAAAATTTGGGTTGTTTTATGATTTAATGCAAAAATTTTCACACATTCACACAGTCCATCAACTGTATTTCAAAGAAAATGCCCTGCACTTCGGTCTTACTAGAGCAACAACAATCTGCACATTAGCTAAGTACTAAAACCTATTATCCATATTTGTATGTAAATCATGCCTACTTATTTGCACATTTTTATGTCAAACATAAATATTCTGGTTTAATCAATACTCCCAAAGTACCACCAAAAACAATCAATTTATTTTTTTTCAATATTCTATGATCATCTGGTGGTCCCACAAGCAAAAAGTCTTTTTTCCTACTCAAAATCTGAATTCATAATTCAGAACTATCAAGTCAGATTTTGAAAATAAAAATTTAATAAGTACAGTTTAAATGTTAAATTTAAAGGGTAAATTTAAATTTAAAAGTTTTTTGTTTTTCTTTTAATAATATTTTTGCTCAAATATTTATAGTTATAAAGAAATAATTTAAAAAAAAAACATTAAAAAAAAAAACATACTTATTCAGGATCGGATTTGGTAGCTCCTTGAAAAGTTTTTATTGTAATTTTTTTAATTAAATCTTTAATTTTTTAATATTTATCATTTATTAATTTATTATTTATTGTGGTGTCGTTTTTTGCTTGATTATTTAATGAGTAATTATTCATTTAGTAATTTAAAAAACTGAATTTAATAAAAAAAAGGGTATTATCAGTTGATCATACCTAACTGTGTAAATCACATTAAATGCCTATTAATTACAATAGTCTACTTAAAAAGACAGTCATGAAAAACTTGACATTTTTTTACTTTAAAACAACTGTATTTTTAAAAAAATTAAAAAAAAAAAAGTTTCATATAAAAACCATCTACTCTTTTTTTCACAAATAAAACTAAATAAACTAACCATACATTACTCAGAATTAAGAAAAATGACCTAAAACAGTTTTAGGTCAGCATCAGGTCGGCATAAAATTTAGAAACAGAGTTCAACAATTAAAAAAAAGCTTAGTTCTCAGTTAATTATGTCATTATTTGTGAACTTGATTCATTAAGTT